GGGCTTTGGGATGCAGTTTGGCACTCAGTCTCTACAAGGTTTACCACCACTGATAACCACTGATACAGGGTCTTGTATGTGACACTGAATAAGTTAATTGATTCTTTCAGTTAGTGTTTCCTGAAGGATTGTGGCAAACACTGAGAATAAAGGCAACAAACATGGAACCTACATCTTATTCTACTCAGTTCCTTCCTAAGTGAATGGATGAGTGGTTGAAATCAACATTTTCTTTTGTAAGTTCAACTCTGAAAAACTAAGGAAACACACCACTATACAAAAAGTAATAAAGTCTCCACTGTGGTATGACTGATCAGCTATCTTTTTTTCAAAATATACTTTGCCTGTGAGTCTAATCTTTTATGCTGGCTAGAATGTCTCCATTCCCCGTGGCCTGTCTGAAATCCATTCTATCCAGAGCAATGCACTGATGCCTTTCCAAACTACTTCACCAAGCAGTGGCCCCTCCCTCTAACTTGTAGAACACATATAGATTACAGCTATCATACAATCTAGGATGGTGTCTTTTCCAGTACTTATTCTATCTTGCCAAGTGCAGTACCTTCCCTTTTCCAGGTTTTTAATTTGTTTTTGATAACCTGATAGCAAGGAACTGGGATCATGAGATAAATGAGAATTTATAATCCAATACTTTAGAACTTTTAGTATAAGATTTTCAAAGAGTTTTGAACCTTAAAAAGCATTACAAAAAAAAACTCCAAAAACTGATTTTGAAATATGCTGGAGTAGAGCAAAAGGATTACACTAATGTCAGAAAAACTGACTTTCTCCTCTATGAGGAATTGTAATTAGTCCCCACTTGTGATAGTATAGGATATGGTTCACTTCAAAGACCCTCTTTGTGCTGTTCAAAGCCAGGGCTTTTTGTTTGTTTGGTTGGTTGGTTTTTCTTGTTTGTTTGTTTGTTTTGTTGTTTTGTTTTGTTTGTAATTTGGGAAACATTTTCAAAGACATGGTTATAAATGCACCTTTAATGATTCACCCTCTACCCAGAACTGACAGCAAGTCAGCAGAAGGCCCAGAGCTGGGCTGGGTTTGGTCAGGTACCCAGAGGTCAGCATCCATAGGACTCTGCATCTGCAGCTAAGGAAAACTTCAAAGAAAACTACCTGGAAAGTTACCATTAAGCATCTAACAGAATAGTTAAAATGCTAATATGGATGTTTGCTGTACAAACACTTTAGTGAGTTTCAAGGTTTAAAACAAAAAAGAAACACTTCACTGTATTGTTCAGGGCGTAATCACAAGGAAAAAAGTCTTTGTTCTTCCCTCAGTAAGTCTTTTTTCATAGATAAGCATTTGTGGAACTCTCTTTCTACTCCGGGAAAGGTGTAAGACACCAGAGCATGTTACCCTGTAAACAATATCATATAGCAACTATTTGAATAATATTTATATTATATTAAGTATTATAACTAATCTAGAGATAGAGTACACAGAAGGATGTCAGTTATATGCAAATACTGTACTATGCCATTTTGCAGGCCTGAAACAATCTTACAGTTTGGTGTCCATAAGGATCCTGGCACTGACACTTGCCAGGCAGGCACTGTGCTACTGTGCTGTATCCCCAACTCTCAGAGTGTCTCTTGACAAATCCCAAAGAACTTAAAATTGGAGTCACTGGTTAGGATAAAAACACAATTATAGATCTGAGAAAAAATGATTTGAAATCTAAGATCAGTTTAATGACAGAAAGCGAGGAGTTTTTGCTTCTGTGTGACAGCAGAAAGGGGTAAAAGGTAGAAATGCTCTGCCTGGGTACCCATGCCAGTCACCCTGCATGGCATGACGTGAGATGAAGCCATCTGCTGACTCTCAGAGATATAATTACTAGCAGGGTGGGGGTGTAATTAAAGTAAGGATAAATTACCTTGAAGAAGATAAAAATTAAGAATTATTAATGATCACAATAATTATCCCTTTTATACCTCAGATTCATGAAATGCTTTACAAGCTGTAATTATCACAGCTCCCCTGTGAGGAAAGGATTCATATCTTACAGCTTCTCATTCAACAGAAAGGTGAAGTGATGGACACAGGAGAAGGGAGAAGCAGAGTTCCACCTCCCCTATCATCTGCCTTGTACGTGGTGAAACTAGAAAGAGGCCCCAGAAGGGCTTGCTCCCATTATGTTGAGTACCCTCCTCCTCAAGCCATCACCCAAACAGATGGTCCCGCCCAAAGTAAGCAACTCATCTCATTCTGACCTGTTGGCCACTTAAACTGCCACAATCATATCAGCAAGGATTTTATTAAACTCTTCATGTGAAGAAAAGATACAACTCAACTTTCAAGGAATTTGAAACCCTTGAAAGTAAATAGTTGTTAAATTAACAAATATGAAAATTACACATTAACTAGCACTAGGTTGTATGAAGGTGACCATGCACACTGTCGGGAGAAATTTGTTACTGGAAGATCAAAGCTTAAGGAAAGTTTTGAGAAGGAGGCTAATCCTATGTGGACCCTCAAGTAAACTATAGATTGTGGACTGGCAAACATGGGGTGGGAGAGGTCAATGAACAAGAAGAACCAATAGGAAAACTTGAAAGACTTAACACATTATGTTAAAGAAAAAACCTTCATTGAAGAGGTATGGAGAGAGTTTACGAAAGAATCTAAAATCATCCTGCCTTGGGACATTTTCCCACTGTGTCAATGTCAAGGCTCCTAATGAGATTTAAAAAACCTCCTTTAAACTGAAGATGACACTGAAACCTTTCCTGTTTTTACCTAAATTTTCATTTTGTGGTTTTCTAACTGATCACAGACAGGTCTGGACATGATAAATGCCACAGAAAGTCAAATCTATTGTCTTCTTTTTCTGAGTTCAAACAAAAAAGATGGGAAATGAGCACTCAGATGAAATAAAAGCCAGAAAAACCTATATTTCTTTGTTTGTTTGGTTGGTTGGTTCGCTGGTTGGTTAGTTATTAATCCATCAGAGTCTATCTCCCAGAGATTCTGGTACTGCATGATTGATGTGTATGTTTTAAAGCTTAATGATTACATATAGCTAAAGTATCTAAGTGGTAGGAATTTTATTTTCTCATTTCAAATGCTCTGTAATAAAGAATCCAAGCCAGTTACCACTATAATATTGTAGATGCGTTCTGGATCCACTGAAAAGAAGACATCCTTCTAGGAATGGCTTAAGGAAACCACTGTACTGACTTTAAACAAAAATAACTCAAGACAGCCATTATTGGATTTAAGATGTAGCTCATTCAGAGTGCAGAACCTGGGCTGAAGTTCCGCCAACAAATCACACAGAGGTGGATAAAAAGAGGAGCAGACATAAGAGAAGATTTTTTCAGGGAATCTTTTGCATAGCATACAGACAAAATGATGGTGCTGCAAAACAGAGAGAGACACACAGACACACAAAGACAGACAGCAAGAGATCCCATAATGACTTGTGGTTGCAGTGAATACAGTGCTCATGATGCTTCCAACCTAGAATCCAACACTTAAGAGTACTGTATAAAACCCTAAATAGAAGGAAAATAGGTAAGTCTTCATGTTTCCTAAGGAGTTGCCACAGCAAATTGATTCATTGAGTCCAAGAAGTAGTGACAGTTCTGATAGTTTCAGAAAAACTAAATCACAGACTTCAGTTCTGAAGCCCTTAGGAAGGCAGAAACGAGCCATAGTTACAACTGCTTCCCATCTCCTTCACTTCCACCCTCCCCTTAACCCCCCATCTCAGGTGACAGCAAGTGAGAGGACAAATAGAATTCAACTCCACTATTATCCGTGCCCAGCTGCACATAAAGGAATAATCATCAAGATTTAGGTTCCATAGTTGCACATTCCCTTGAGGACTCTAAATTTCACTCAAAATTCAGAAAACCAATTCTTCCCTCTGCTGGAAAAAGAAGAGACAGAAATGCAGAGAAGTCACTGAATCACTTAATAGTCTCCATAAACCCATTATAAAGAAGTTTCCAAAGTTTCTGAAATGTAAGAATGGGAAATGCTGACAACTAGGATAAAATCTAGTTCCTTACAATAAAACAGCCCTGAGGTTCATAAATGATCATGAGGGTTAAGAAAGCTGTGATAGCTGTAATGGGCAAGAATGACTGATTACCATAATGTGCTTCCAAAAGAAGCAGACTCAAGTGTTTAGATGTCACAATCATTAGTAACTTAGGCTAAGCAGGATGATTGTATCTATAATGATGCATTACACTAGCTCTTTTTCTTCACCGGCATCAATATACTAACGAGAAAAGTAATGAGCAAACTTCATTTAGATCTAAGGATGGAATATATATATGAAATTTCATGATTTTTATGTTTCCTTATGAACAGTTTAATAAAACCATATTTTAAGATAACCTACAAAATTTACTGTGGAAGTGACCCCCAATCTGTAGGAAAACTCATCATCATAAAACCTAGGAATACAAATGTAAATTGTTTCCTCACCTGCATTGTTACAAAAGTTTAACAATTCTTTTCACCCCTCTCTTTGTTTTATAATTGTTCCAGGCAGGTCTTATGATCAGTTCTTCATGGACGGTTCACATGCCATGGAGAAATTAATTGGTTTTTTTAAGTTTAATTCCAAGGTTTTGTGTAACCCCAGCCTTGGACTTACATTGTTTATAAAGTACATTACCTGGAAGTTACGCCTTTGAAATAAAGTCATAATCAATTAAGATTCAGAATATTTAATCTTTTTATTGTTTAATTTCATTTTAACAAAGAAAATTAGAGCTTCTGCTAAATATTCTATCCTTTCATGTTAGGTGAGGCAAGTATCCTGCCAGGAGGCAAGGCCTGTGAACCTCATTCTAAATAGCTAGGTGAGCAAACAGTGAGATAAACAAGACATTCAAGGAGACAGAGGCGGAGCTGGGCGTGGAATGAATCAGCCCATCCCACAAGAGTGGGTGTCTCCTTCCTAAGTTGCTCTCCAGGGCACAATTAAAACCGCTATAAAAGGTGCAGCTCCCAGTTACCCAGTACACTTGCCAGCAGTGTCATCGAGCACTCAGCTTCTTCTTCTGGTGAAGTGGGTAAGTCCCATTCTGTGGGGGTCATGTTCCTCCGTATGATCCTTCATGTTTTGAGCCATTGCATGTTGGAGAATGGGGGCAGACTGTACATGTCAGAAGGGATGAGCATCCTACATTGATGGCTGGTTCTCATTTACTCCATCTCATCTTCCTATGGCCAGAGCCATCACTTGAAGAGATACAGCCCTTCTCTCAAAAGCTCTTAACTCAATACTTTTATACATCGGAAAGTGCTCATGTGTAGCTCTTATGAGTTTCATCTTCCCAATAATTGCCATTTCAAATGTTTTTCAACCCTCCAGTCTCTTTTCATACCTAATCTATCTAATATGGGGTATCTTCATATAGTTATGGCATCCTGGGATATTGAAGATGAGATGTAGATTTTTAAAAAGTCATCTAAATATATGGCTATACACACCCAGCCAGCAAAGCCATCCATATATTCTTTTAACATTGATTTGCTGCTGGTTGATTTGTTTTGGCTTGGGTTTTACAGTTGTGGGATCAAATGTTGGGCTCTATATATGCTAGACAAGTGCTCTACTACTGAGGTATATCCTTATCCATTAATTTTTTCCTAATACTAAGATTCAAGTGCTTTCTTTGGGTTTAATAAAGGCAAACCAATATTATTCAAAGTTTTCTAGGTTCAGTTTGGTTCACTGACTCTGATAGCCACTGAGGAAGGATCTTTCAGCAGCTTTCAATAATTGAATTTGTAGATATCTATCATAAATCTGAGATAACATTAAGGCAAGTAACACGCACCTTCTGTTTTCTGCATTTTTGTATCTCAATGTTACAATGCCACCTTTTGACTAGAACAAAATAGGATTTAATTTTAGAACTGATAGCTTCTGAGTTATACTCCTAGAGCTTTCACAGATTTTAATATTGGGAAATAATTCATTTATCTTTTCCATTGTTCTATTTACTGATACATGTTTTGCTTATACAATTCACTGTACAAGGCTGCATCCACTTCAATATACTCTCAAATCTTCCTTCACTTAAAGCTTTAACCTATCCTCTTTGCTTAACTTTAGGAGTTGCTTATGGGTAGCAACATGTCAAATTTAAATTCCTACACTCTTCACTGTCTGCTCTGAAATATACTGCAGAGCTATAAGGGAGAAGGGAATGATATGGATAATCCAATTTCAATAGACAATTGGAATTTAGACGGGGCTAGATGTTAGTTCAGCAGCACAAGTGCCTGCCTGGCAAGCACAGCGTCATGAGTTTGATCCCCAGTACTAAAAAAAAAAAAAAAAAAAAAAAAAAAAAAGGCTAGAGGATAGTATGGAGATGATTTCCTGGCTTAGAACTTCTCAATATGTCTCCTCCATTTCCCCTGAATGCACTGAGATAAAATGCTCTGAAAATTCACACTAAAAATAACTAGTACTGAAAAGTGAAATTATTTAAAGATCTCCCTAAACAGTGTGAATGAAGCCTTTCCAAAAGCAGAAACAGACATTTGATTCTGGGTCGCATTTTACTATTTTAGGTTTACTTGAAGAAAGGAAAAAAATGTCTCCACTTCTTAGAAGCATCATTGATATCACTGAAATTTTCAATCAATATGCCTCATATGATTGTGATGGAGCAGCATTAAGCAAGAAAGACCTAAAGAACCTCCTTGAAAGGGAATTTGGAACTGTCCTCCAGGTAAGAACTAACAAAAACAGGATATTTCTCCACTAATTGAGGGCTGTGATTTTTCTTGTCAGGAAAGACTAGAAAAAGAAACGATGGCTTATATTCAATTTGTACCCTAACAAATGTGCAATATATCCTTCAGTCATTTCTGAGTCTGAAGGTAGCTAATGGACTGTGTAGTCCGAATACTAACTTTGAAGCAAATATTTCATGTACTTGATGGCATTATCAATGGGAATGAGTTATTCATGGACTATTTCTACCAAAATTGTCAGTCAAATCAAACTACAGTTGGAGGAATTTAAACATGCTTCCATATTTCAAGAATTTGTATTCTTTTGATCAGCACTAAATTACTGGGGGGAAACCTTCAACAAACTATGCTGTGACGTGAAATGTTCACATTTTTCATAGGGAAACAAGACGATATGCACTGGGTGTTCTAACTGCTTTAAAGTGACTCTTGAGTGTTAGCATGGCTAGCATAAATGTCTGAGTGAATTTTATTACCTGTAAATAACATTTAAATTTTTTGTTTTTATCTTTTCATAGAGACCACATGACCCTGAGACAGTAGAAACGATCCTGGGACTTCTGGATCGTGATACTAATGGAATTGTTGATTTCAATGAATTCCTCCTGTTCGTTTTCAAAGTGGCTCAAGCTTGCTATTATGCTCTCGGCCAGGCCACAGTGCTAGATGAGGAGAAGCAAGTCCAGGGTGAGAGAAAGAGGGGCCTGTCACAAGACAGAAGGCAAGAAGACCAAAGGACATTCGAGAGCCTGGACAGACAAGTGGATGAAGAATCTGGTCGCCGACGCTGGCAGAAGAGGCCAGAACTGGAGAAAGCTGAGGAAGAAGACCAAAGAAAGAAACAAGAGATATTTGAACAGCCCCGAGAAGAGGAGCAGCGGCTGCAAAGGCGAGAACTACAAGAACTAGAAGAGCTCCGCGCAGAGGAACAGCTGCGCACGTTCAAGGGTCGCGACGCGGAGGAGTTTGCTGAGGAAAAACTCCAAAGGCGAGAGAGGCAGAATCTGAGAAAAGACCGCGGGGAGGAGGAGCAACAGCCACTTCCGGAACCAGAGCAGTGCGAGAAGGCGCTCCAGAAGGAAAATGAGCGTCTACAAAGGCAGGAGCGACAGGAGCTCAAGAGGGAGAGCCGAGAAGAGAGGCAGCTGCGGCGGCACAGGGGCGAGGACAGACGCGAGCAGATGGAGAGGCTCGAGCAGGAGGAGAGACGCGAGCAGCAACTGAGGCGAGAGCAGGAGACTCAAGAACAACAGCTGAGGCGCGAACAGGGGGAAAGGCTTGAGCAGGTGGAAAAGCTCGAGCAAGACAGGCGTGAGCAGCAACTGAGGCGAGAACAAGAGGAGAGACAAGAACAACTGCTAAGGCTTGAGCAGGAGGAGAGGCGCGAGCAGCTGCTAAGGCGCGAGCAGCAACTGAGGCGCGAGCTGGAGAAGCGCGAGGAGAGGCGCGAGCAACAGCTGAGGCGCGAGCTGGAGGAGAAGCGTGAGCAGCAGCTGAGGCGCAAAGAGGAGGAGAGGCGCGAGCAGGAGGAGAGGCGCGAGCAACAGCTGAGGCGCGAAGAGGAGGAGAGGCGCGAGCAACAGCTGAGGCGCGAGCAGGAGGAGAAGCGTGAGCAGCAGCTGAGGCGCAAAGAGGAGGAGAGGCGCGAGCAGGAGGAGAGGCGCGAGCAACAGCTGAGGCGCGAAGAGGAGGAGAGGCGCGAGCAACAGCTGAGGCGCGAGCAGGAGGAGAAGCGTGAGCAGCAGCTGAGGCGCAAAGAGGAGGAGAGGCGCGAGCAACAGCTGAGGCGCCAAGAGGAGGAGAGGCGCGAGCAACAGCTGAGGCGCGAGCAGGAGGAGAAGCGTGAGCAGCAGCTGAGGCGCAAAGCGGAGGAGAGGCGCGAGCAACAGCTGAGGCGCGAAGAGGAGGAGAGGCGCGAGCAACAGCTGAGGCGCGAGCAGGAGGAGAGGCGCGAGCAGCAGCTGAGGCGTGAGCTGGAGGAGAAGCGCGAGGAGAGGCGCGAGCAGCAGCTGAGGCGCGAGCTGGAGGAGAAGCGCGAGCAGCAGCTGAGGCGTGAGCTGGAGGAGAAGCGCGAGGAGAGGCGCGAGCAGCAGCTGAGGCGCGAGCAGGAGGAGAAGCGTGAGCAGCAGCTGAGGCGCGAGCAGGAGGAGAAGCGCGAGGAGAGGCGCGAGGAGCAGCTGAGGCGCGAGTTGGAGGAGAAGCTCGAGGAGAGGCGCGAGGAGCAGCTGAGGCGCGAGTTGGAGGAGAAGCGCGAGGAGAGGCGCGAGGAGCAGCTGAGGCGCGAGTTGGAGGAGAAGCTCGAGGAGAGGCGCGAGCAGCAGCTGAGGCGCGAGCTGGAGGAGAGGCGCGAGCAGGTGGAGATGCTGGAGCAGGAGAGGCGCGAGGAGGAGAGAAAAGAACAGCTGCTGCGGCGCGAGCACCAACTGATGGCTGAAAAGGATGAACCGGCACAAACTCAGGAAGGATATGACAGCCATACCCAGAAGTGGCACTGGCTAGAAAGCGAAGCTGCCGCACGTCAGACCAAGGTTTACTCCAGGCCTTGCAGACAGGAACAGAGGCGCCGCCAGGAGCGGGAGCTGCAACTTGGAGAGCAGGAAGAACAGCTCCTAGACTTGACCTGGCAAAGGCAAGCCGAGCGAGAGGGCGAAAGGCGCCGTCAGAGGCGCGAGAGGCAGCAGGAGCAGGAGCTGCTGTTCAGAGAGGTGGAAGACCAGCGCCCAGAGAACAGTCAGGAGCGGCTGCGCCGCCACTGGAACAGGGGATGGCAAATTGAGGAAGAGAGCCAGAGACGCCACCAGAAACTGTACACCAGGCCAGGTCAGCGAGAGCAGCTGCGAGAGGAGGAGCAGCTGGAGAGAGAAAGTAGGCGCCAGGAGCGCGACAGAAGATTCCATGAGGAGAAGCAGCTACATCAGGAAAGGGAGGAAGAGCAGCTGCGGCTAGAAAGAGAGGAACAGCAGCTGCGGCGCCGCCAGGAGCGGGAGAGGAAATTCCGTGAGGAAGAGCAGCTGCGTCAGGAAAGGGAAGAAGAGCAGCTGCGCCGCCAGGAGCGTGACAGGAAATTCCGTGAAGAACAGGAGCTGCGTCTGGAAAGCGAGGAAGAGCAGCTGCGCCGCCGGGAGCGTGACAGGAAATTCCGTGAAGAACAGGAGCTGCGTCTGGAAAGCGAGGAAGAGCAGCTGCGCCGCCGGGAGCGCGACAGAAGATTCCGTGAGGAGGAGCAACTGCGACAGGAAAGGGAAGAAGAGCAGCTGCGCCGCCGGGAGCGCGACAGAAAATTCCGTGAAGAACAGGAGCTGCGTCTGGAAAGGGAGGAAGAGAAGCTGCGTCAGGAAAGGGAGGAAGAGCAGCTGCGCCACCAGGAGCGCGACAGAAGATTCCGTGAGGAAAAGGAGCTGCGTCTGGAAAGGGAGGAAGAGCAGCTGCGCCGCCAGCAGCGCGATAGAAGATTCCGTGAAGAACAGGAGCTGCATCTGGAAAGGGAGGAAGAGAAGCTGCGTCAGGAAAGGGAGGAAGAGAAGCTGCGTCAGGAAAGAGAGGAAGAGCAGCTGCGCCGCCTAGAGCGCGACAGAAGATTCCGTGAGGAACAGGAGCTGCATCTGGAAAGGGAGGAAGAGAAGCTGCGTCAGGAAAGGGAGGAAGAGAAGCTGCGCCGCCGCCAGGAGCGCGACAGAAGATTCCGTGAGGAGGAGCAGCTGCGTCAGGAAAGGGAGGAAGAGCAGCTGCGCCGCCGGGAGCGCGACAGAATATTCCGTGAGGGGGAGCAGCTGCGTGAGGAAAGGGAGGAAGAGCAGCTGCGCCGCCGGGAGCGCGACAGCAGATTCCGTGAGGAAGAGCAGCTGCGTGAGGAAAGGGAGGAAGAGCAGCTGCGCCGCCGGGAGCGCGACAGAATATTCCGTGAGGAGGAGCAGCTGCGTGAGGAAAGGGAGGAAGAGCAGCTGCGCCGCCGGGAGCGCGACAGAATATTCCGTGAGGAGGAGCAGCTGCGCCGCCAGGAGCGTGACAGAAGATTCCGTGAGGGAAAGGAGCTGCGTCTGGAAAGGGAGGAAGAGCAGCTGCGCCGCAGGGAGCGCGACAGGAAATTCCGTGAAGAACAAGAGCTGCGTCAGGAAAGGGAGGAAGAGCAGCTGCGCCGCCAGGAGCGTGACAGAAGATTCCGTGAGGAAAAGGAGCTGCGTCTGGAAAGGGAGGAAGAGCAGCTGCGCCGCCGCCAGGAGCGCGACAGGAAATTCCGTGAAGAACAAGAGCTGCGTCAGGAAAGGGAGGAAGAGAAGCTGCGTCTGGAAAGGGAGGAAGAGCACCTGCGCCGCCAGGAACAGGACAGGAAATTCCGTGAGGGAAAGGAACTGCGTCTGGAAAGAGAGGAAGAGCACCTGCGCCGCCAGGAACAGGACAGGAAATTCCGTGAGGGAAAGGAGCTGCGTCTGGAAAGAGAGGAAGAGCAGCTGCGCCGCCAGGAGCGGGACAGGAAATTCCGTGTGGAACCGGAGCTCCGTTGGGCCAGGGAGGAGCAGCTGCGCCGCCGTTGGGAAAGAGAGCAACAGCTTCGCCAGGAACGCGACCGAAGATTCCGTGAGGAACAGCTCCGCCAGGAGAGGAAAGAGGAGCAGCTGCGCCGCGAGGAGCGCGACAGGAAATTTCGGGAGGAGGAACAACTGCGCCGCCAGGAGCAGGACAGAAGATTCCGTGAAGAAAAAGATCTGTGTCTGGAAGGAGAGGAAGAACAGCTGCGCCGCCAGGAGCGCAACAGAAGATTCCTTGAGGAGGAGCAGCTGCGTCAGGAAAGAGAGGAAGAGCAGCTGCGCCGCCAGGAAAGACACAGTCTCTACCAATCTGAAGAGCCCTTTGTCAGGGAGAAGAATAATCTGGAGCAAGAACTGAAGGAAGAAGAACAGAGACGTCGCCTGGAGCGTGAAAGGAAATTCCAAGAAGAGCAAGTTGGACGCCAAGAGGAGGTGCAAAGCGATAGCAAAGTCTGGGAGAAACAAGCCCGAGAAGAAAAGAGTGATCTGAAGTATGGCAAACGAGAGTTTGCCCATGCTCCAGTGGTGCGCTCCAGTCCTCTCTATGAGTACATCCAAGAGCAGAGATCTCAGTTCCGCCCGTAAGAGCTGCTACCACATGATAATCCAGGCCATAGCTTCAAAGGAAAGAAAGTGAGAAGCACTGCTTCTGGTTGTGGGAAAATTCTCTAAAGTTGAAATATGTTTTTTCTTCCAAAATCTTAAGCTACAGTTGTTTCATTACTCCTGTCTTTTATTCTTCCTCTAGTAGTTCTTTACTGCAAGATGTCTTTGCTCTTTGGTGAAGAGTTGGTGTGCATTTTTAAAAACAAAAGTCATTTAATTTGAGGAACAAACTGATGTACCAAGAATAGTACAATTTGAGGCTCAAGGCAACTAAATCTAAATTTTCATAATGGTTGATCATCTTGTGGAGATTTACATGTTTTTAAAGTGAAAGTTGTTTTTTTCCCCTTTGGGCCTAAATTTTATTAAGCTTTACCACCAAAATGCTTTTTTGGAGGTATCTGTGTGTGTGTGTGTCATGACTGTACAGATTCCACTAGGTGAATGAATTTTTGCAGTACTTAGTGCAGGAGGAATGATTTCTGCAGAAAAATTCTTTGTGAACTCAGCCCTTAACTGGAATAAATATTTGCTAAGAATAAGATTTAACTTAAAGATTTAGAATTTGGGATTTTTTTTAACATTGAACTGCACATAAACACTTAATATCTCATGAAGCAAAAGCAAAGTGCTTCTCAACCTCAGAGCTCAAATAAAGTGTCTACTGTAGTTTGTAGTGCTCAGTTCTAGTCCTCCAAGTTTTGATGGGTTTGAGAATATTACCATTTTTGTTAATTTTAATTTAGAGGGAACCTAATCAAATCCTATAAACATCTGTCTTGATATAGAGCCAATAAGTTGTCCCAGAAGTCGTATGTAAGGAAAAGAAAGGGGGAAAGTATATGTGAACAGAGGTGCAAATTTGTAAAGGTCCTTGACAAGACTTACCACTCCAGTTTCTTTGATACCTGTTACTACCTTGGAGAACTTCTTGCTGAAATAATTATACTGTATGAAAAATTAATAAATGTTTGGCAAATAATGATTTTTGTCTGTTTTAACTGTGTGTCAGTCATAACTCAAGATCTAATCATCTGGAGACTTGACATAATTTCTCATTCACGGTTATTTTTGTTATCATTTATCCCCAAATATGAAAAGGAAGAAAAAAACCTACTTTTCCCATCCATTTTTCCCAGTTGGGGTGAACTTTATATTATTTCCACTCCTGGCGGTGGAAATATATAACTTTCCAAGTGTTTTTGTTATTGGTTCCACCACTTTCTCTGCCTTTTCTTGCAGTGACTCATTGGTCATAACAAATATTTGTGCTCCCTGTGTTTAATATTTCCTTCTGAGATAGCAACAACTTTTTGGTCTCTTATGTCAGGTCAATAGCCTATGATAGAAATGCCCTCAAGCCAGATAGGCATGATAGGTGTAGTAGATGACCTGAAGAATTAAGCAACATAATCCAGGCATTCTGAATCAGAAGAGGCTAAATAGTAATCAGGCCAAAACATTACATTATCATCTTATTATTCAAAACCCCTGTGCAACCTGCTGGAATCTACATTTAGGATTTACCATTTGATAACTGTATGTCCAAGATGACCTTAATTGGGATATATAATTTCCAAGTGAAGATCATAGATAAGAATGTTTTAAAGTTACAGTTACTCAACATTTTTGTCAGTAATATAGACAAGGAAACTAAGTCTGTAACTTCTGAGTATCATTCTGATACAATAAAGTGGCACTTTCTATAAGAAGCATAACCTCGTACCCACCAAAGATAGCACCAAGGAATACCTTGAGACTATCTTAGAACTTTGCCTCTTTCAAATGATTTCTAACTGCAAAACTTCTCCTAAGTAAATATATACTTTTTCTTAAAGATCTTCACAGAAACCCTGTAAGAGCCTTGCTGACTTTCCCCGGGATCCTATCAAAGGGCATTCATTTGAGAGCTTCCTTCTACCCAGCCCCAAGAGACTACTAAAATACACACATTTCAGCTAAGCTACAGCTTGGCAATAACAATTATAATAAAGCCCTTCAGACTTGTTGCACTTTACAAGATAAAGAAAATATCACCTTTAAAGAAGAAATTAGCTCCACTACAATTTTAATAACTTTTTTAATGAAATATGTTACTCAACCCATGCCATCTAGCTGTTCTTTTCCCACACTGGCAGGAAAATGTGAAGGTCAACCTTCCTGCTCCACCTAAATAATGTACATGTATGGTCTTCAGTTTAGAATTTAAAGCCCTCCACAATCTAGTAGCAATCTACTTTCTAATTCTTGGCTCCCACAATATTTCTGTATCCAACAAGATGCTCAAATTAGACTAGTCTGTTCGTTGTCTTTAGTGCATCTTAATGATTGTACTTACATCCAAAACACATTGGCATTGTATTTTCTATTTGGAATGCTTGTCTACCTCCTATTTACCAGTGCAATTTCTGCTGAACAACCAAGTTGAGTTCCATCTCCTCCCAAAATCTTTCTTAGATGCCTTGTTATATAATACCTAAGACATATTATTAATTTACTACTCATTAACCGAGTATAATATTCTGGTTTATCTGCCTTTATACTTATCTCATCTTCCCAATTTGATTTTAAATACCTTGAAAACTGAGACTATGGCTTGAACATTCTTTTTTTGGTATGTTATTTCCATAATACATAACAAACAACATAGCTTTATGAATTTCTGAGAAAAATATGTAGACTCTCTGACTAGAAAAACATATATTCAAAAATTTTGCATGGGTTTCAAAAGTTCTTACTTATAGTGAAGGCTTCTTTATGCTACTAGCTTAAGGAATTATAAGAATTAGGTGCATAATTTGATGTTTAATAGATACATGCAAAATGAATAAATCAATGTAAGTTTCATGTTTTCTTCCTGCATAGTGCTTCATCTGCCCATCTGTCAAATGTGCCAAGCCTTCTAAATATACAAGCCCTATATACTTTCTTGTTTCTTGAAAACTCCTTAACCTCAGGCATCACGGAAGTATTAGTGAATATTCAAGATTTCTTCTCTTTCAGTTTATTCTGATTCTACCTGGGAATTGGAGTGAGCTCTGTTCTTAGCATCTATCAGGGCCACTTTAATGTGTTAAGAATAAGGGGCTAGGTAAAGACACAAGTGAGTTCTGGTCCCATTTACCATTGAGAAAGAGTAGATGCATTAAGAAGATGTGATAACTCAATTCTAGATGGTTCCTGCTTTTCTCATAAAAATTTGAATTCAAACCAAACAAAAATCCATTGACTGGCAGCTAGGAGAGCCAAATTCCAGCCTTTTCCCATGAGTCAACACCATTCATGAGCTGCAGGGAAGAAAACAAGAAGCAAGTCCTCCCTGCAAATCAGCACCATGTATGGGCCTCTATGAGGAGAGCCAGATGCCAGCCCCTTCTGGCATGTAGACTGGGAAACAAGAAGTGCCAAATCCCTCTGTCCCCTCCTGTAAGCAACTAGCTAACCAGAAGAAACACAGGCTGTGATGATAGCTATTGAGGTAAAATACAATTTAATGCTTTCAGTGTTTAGTGTTTCACTGATTTGCAGATCTAAAGCAGGTAATCTGATCATCTATTCAGAAGATAACAATATGCAGTGTAGCATCTATGGGGGATCTCCTTCTGAAGGTAGTAGCCACTGTTAATTCCCTATTATCTTGTTTTGAAGTCCTGTATCATTTTCATTGTTTTGTTGGATTGGGTTTTATTCTTTTTTGTTTTATTTGATTTTATTATATCCAATGGCATTGGCGGCTATTTCCGAGAAAACAAGATATATTATAGTAAGCCTGGCATGGTGGCTCATGCCTGTAATTCCAGCACTTGGGAGGCTGAGGTGGGAGGATCGTCGGGAGTTCAAGACCAGCCTGGGCTATAAAGTGAGCTCAAAGCCAGCCTGAACTGCATAACGAGACACCATCTCAAAAAAGATAAAAAAAAAAAAAAAAAGATATAGTAGGCATTTTGGATTTACTATTATCTTATTTTGAAGTCCTTTATTGCATTCATTGTTTTGTTTTTATTAGTTCTTGTCATGGTTTATGTTGGTGGCCCCCAGGCCTCATACATTTGCATTATGCATTTGTGATTGGTTCATTGTCTAGTGCTTGGATTGTTGGTGTCAGTGCCACACCCACATAGGGGTGGAGCCAAGATGTAATGTAATGGCAGGAAGAAGGTGTATCTTGCTCTCTTGTGGGTTTCTGCCTTGCTGTTTGCAGCCGCCAGGAACTGCAGCCCAGCCATGCCAGCCTGCCTTGGAGCCAACTGAGTATGGACTGAAACCTCCAAAAACTGTAATATATAAACCTTTCCTTTCCCAACTTTGGGCTTCAGATATTTTGTCTCAGCGATGAGTAAAAAGTAACTAAGACAGTTCTATTCTATCTGTTTTGTTTGATTTTTACTATGTCTGAAGGTATGGACAACTATTTTGAAGACAACAAGAGGCATTATGGCAACCATTATTGATTCTCTATTGTTTTTAAGTTCTGAATCACTTACACTGGTTTAAATTAAAATCTGAAGATAGGTATAAAGTTACCTTGGTGATGAGAATAAGAAAGAGCTTTTAAGGAAAAGTGAAATTTATAGAGTGGAGGAGAAAAAAATTCACCAACGTGCAAAAAAATCAAAATTAGATTTGGCTAGAGCCTAGAATCTTGAGAGAAAAGTAGAAAGAAATGAGATTGCAGGAGGTCTGTGAGGTAAGTAATTTGTAAACCATATTATTTTAAGGCAATAAGATATCATTGTCACTTTAAGCAATGTTGTCTTTTTTTTTTTTTAATCAGTACTGGAGATCGAACTCAACTGTGTGGTTGTTGGACAGACACTTATACCACTGAGCTAAATCCCTAGTCCCAAGCAATGTTGTCTTACTTGCTTTGGCTATAGTGTAGAGCATGGATTGGAGAGGGTCCATATGGAAGACAAAGATCCAACTGGAAAAAGAAAACTATAGGCCAATATCTTTAATAAATATAGACACAAAATTCCTCAACAAGATACTAGCAAATAGAATGCAACACATCATGAAAAAGGTCAAACACTGGGCCAGAGATACAGTCCAGCGACACAGCACCTGCCCATCAGTCACAAGGTCATGAGTTTGATTCCTAGTACAAAATAAAAAAGATCAAACATCAAGACAAGTAGGTTTTACCCCAGAGTTGCAAGGACGGTCCAACATATGTAAGTCAGTAAATGTAATACATTCCATAAACAGAAGCAAGGGTGAAAACCATGTGATCATATCCATAGATGCAAAAAAGGCTTTGGGCAAAATCAAAGAATACTTCATGATAAAAGTTCTCAAAAATTAGGTCTAGAAAGACTGTACCAGGCAATCCACTCAGCACCTCTTCTGTCCGTCTCTCAGACAGAAGCTTTCTTTCTCTCAATAAATATATTTGCTCTTTAAAAGAAAAGCCAGGCATGGTCACACACACCTATAATCCCAGTACTTGGGAGACTGAAACAAGAGGATCACAAGTTTGAGGCCAGCCTGGGCTACAAAGTGAGTTCAAGGTCAGCCTGAACTGTATAGTGAAATTCGGTCTCAAAAGGTAAAAATAAATAAACAAAGACTGTTCCTAAATGTGAAAAAGATATTTATGACAAACCATGGCCAACATCATACTAAATGAGAAAAAAAACAAGAAAAGGGTGCCCACTATCACCACTATCACTTGAGACATTAGCCTACTCAATCGGGAAAGAAAGAAATAAAAGGAATACATATAGGAAAAGAGGAGGTCCAAATTATCATTATTTGCACTGTGCCTATGCCCTCTCAGCCTGCTCACTCATGTATCCTTCTTCCCTGTACTTGGAAATGCCAGGGTATTGGCATTGCTGGCCTTGGCAGCATTGGAGCCAGCTTGCAGCCGCTGGTACCAGCAAATGCAAAATGAACAAGAGGTTGCAGGTGATGTTCCTCTGTCTTACAGCAGCATCTCTTGCGTGCAGCATATTTTGCCTACAAAATACAGGGTTTCCA